CCCTACTATTCAGCAGAGAAATATTTGCACAGATTCAAAAGTTCCCAATGAAGGAAAGTGATTTTAAATTTGATGGGGACCCAGTCTCCTCTGGAGTGTCTAGCATGAAAAGACATCGACACCCCTTCCATATAGCATGTGTTCAGCATTTTACCTTGTCTGATACGGCTGGTGCAGCCCCCCTTTCCTTGACGGGTCTTAGATGGAGCATCACTTGCTGAGCCAGACTCAGAGCTTGGGCCTTTACCAGACTGATGGAGTCTAGATTTTGACAGGCCCATGCCAATGCTGCCTCCTCTGCAACTCCTTTGGTGCATGATGAGACTGCCACGAAGGAAGGTTCAGCCACAGTTTCCACAGGGCAGAAGCTGGGCTTGAGCACTCTGATAAGCTGCCTCATTTAGCCTCATGAACATACAGGAATCATCACCAAGGACCTCAGGTCTCCTGGGCTCTAGCCTTCTGAGATGCCTTGGTAGCTGATTGTTTTCAATACACCACTTCTCTAGGCACTGTGTTCATGTATAGAAATAGACCGTGACCCAAATTCTCTGCCACAAATGTAGCATACCCTGAAGCAAGGTCTTCTTGATGGGATGACAGGGCAATTCAGAGGTATTTGAGACATGTTTGAAGAATCTGAATGATTTGATATTATTACAGTGCCTGGTCGCCTTTTTGGGGGTCCAACTTCTACTTCAGGCAAAATTTTCAGAAGATTTGACACATTAGATGGTAAAACTTGGCCTGAAGGCAAGATGCTAAAGTCACTAGCAGGGCTATCTCGAGCACTTGGCAGATTGTTACTGGTTTTGTTCACATTCTTTTTCCTGACATTTGTTTCCATAAAGAGTATAACCTTTCAAGAAACTTCTCTCTCTTCGACACATAAAGGGCTTGGGAGATTTCAGCATGATGCTCCATCTTCTTAATTTAGTTTCATGGGCTGCAATATACCAAGGACTTCAAAGCTGGAAAACTGCACCTAATGGCCACTCCAGTAGGTTTTTTTTTCTGTGTGTTTTTATTTCACCTTTTGGTTAACATAATCCTGTAAGAAATTAAATCAGTACTTATTAATAAACCTCATCTCTCTTGTTAATGTTACCAACCAGTGGTTTATCACACCCTATCACTGTTATATTTTTAAATAACAGATAAATAACATAAAATATATTGTAACCCTAATAATCAGCTGAACAATGTTAAACTGAAATTCTAGTAAGGAGTAAAGTCATGAAGGACATGAAAAAAAGATGGGTTTGCATGAACTGAAGCTGCTGAAATACATGTGATTTTCTGTATAATCAATAGGATTTATTTCTAGTTACTAACAGAACTGGTATTTGTAATACAGTCTTTAATTTCTAAGCGACTTATGCTGATAGTTAAACACAATGTCCTTATATCAAGAGAAATGAAAATAAGTCCTGTAGTAGAGGAATGTTAATGTCCAATCTCCAAAGGGACAGTCAGCGAGAAAAATGTTCCCAGTCTATAGGTTGAAGGAAATTATTAGGCCCCTTTACTCAACACTTGTGAGATGGTACCTCAAACTCTCTGACCAGTCTTGATTCTGGTGGAATCAAAGCAGTTTATCAGGGCTACTGAGATGCTCTGGAGGCTGAAGCACATGCCATATGAGGAGAACTAAGGGCACTGTGCTTGTTTATTCTCAAGAAGACAGTGCTGAACATATTTCAGTTTTCCAATTTGCAGTCTATCCCTCTACACAGGTAACTTTGTTTTGTATCACTTAAATGGTAATGTTCTCACAGAGATGATCTTTTGTGCTGTTCATCCAAGGATCAGAAAATTCAGACTGTAAGCATATTGCAGCAGAGGTTATGGTTTTACTGCAAGAATACAAAATAACTATCAGGCTAGCTTTAGTCATAAGCAAGCAAGAGGTTGCACAGACAGGACACTGCCAAGTACAGCAAGGTTAACATTGTCTACTTTATCTGTAACAGAAGAAACAGCTGATTATTGCTTATTTTGCCACCAAAGATAGGATCAAGGCATAATGGTCACTGCTCTGGGGCTGGTAGCTGTTCCTTTGACTTAAGAGTCATCTCGTCCTTACCAAAAATACCAAACGTTATTTCAACCCTTCCAAATTTTGAGGGGGGTCCTAACTCAGAAACTTATCTACCCAGAGATCCCACTGACTCATCTCAGGTCACTTTCTCTGCTCCCACCAGCCAACCTGAATCTGCTCTGAACTTCTTTTTTGTCATGTCACCATGGGAGACTTTGCTCACACTCAACAGCCTTTTCACCCTTATCACTCTGACCTGTGAACTCAGGGGCTGAATTTTACTACACCCAAGGGTGAGGACACAGTTCTGTCATTACCCTTAAGACAAAGGGGTAAACTTAATTCTTGCCTGTTTTCACTAAGAAGCATTGAGCTGATTCTAGCCTTTCATAAATATTCCAGGGGAAACCTTAGAGACATGGCCAACAGTGAAAAAGCAAGTTGCTTCCGGGTTCAAATGATTGGTCATCCCCTTGCCAGGCACACAAAGATGTTTACATTACTGCTTTCACACTGATTGGTTAAATATTCACAAAGTTCCAAAGACACTTGTGACACTTTCTCATTTTGCAAAATCTCCTGTGAAGCTCAGATTCATTTGTACACAAATTGGAAGATGTGAAGACCATCAGAGCCAATCTGTGATTTGCACTGGAACAAATCTCTGCGAACAAGTACGTTGTGGTTAGCTGTTAAAAATAAAATTCTTGAGGGACATTATACTTAGCACTCAAAGTTAACATCTCATCTAAAACTCTATTAGATAGCCACAGTCTGTGGAAAAATATAGTGCAGTAAAGGCTGTAGCATCCTTTCATGTCTGAAGTTATCAGAAAAACATTAAATGTTAAAGGATACACAGAACTGTAGCACTGAATTTTTTGTTTCAAATATCAAAAAAGAGTTTTTTTGGCTGACTCCTACACAACTCATAATTATGAAATGTCCAGTGGTAAACTAACAAAGAAGGTTTACAAGCAGTTTGACCAGTAGCAATTAATAATACTTTGTCAGCTAGCTGTCTTCAAACTGGTGCCATCCCATTTTAAGGAAATAATTTTTGCCCTAATTGGTAACGGTAACTTAATGCAAAAAACTTTACTGTAGAAAATATTACAAAAGCTATTTGTACAACAAATTCCAAACCCTTCCCCTTGTTTTCCTTTTAGAAGGCCTAAATTTTCTGATCTTAACTTTACAGAAGGCTGGTCACTTTGTACCACAAATTGCCACCATCCTTTGCTAGTTTCAACCATGTTGTGCATGTAATTCACAATTGTGAATTGAATTGTAAAATGAATTGTAATTCATTTAGGTGAGTGGTTCAACACAATGTGAAATTTAAAATTGTAAAGTAGCATTGACGTTACTCTATTGTAAGGCCCTTTCAAAGACTGAGAGCATTTCCAAGGAGGGTAGCCTGCTGGATAGATCCAAGTTGGGAAGTAGCCAAGCTCTTTAGGAGGATGAAGGGAATGGAGAGCCAGGGAAATAATAAAGGGTCATGAAGCCAGAGGAGATAAGGGTTATTGGAGGGTCACAGGAAGGGAGCATCAGAAAGCTCAGCTGCATTTCAGGGAACTTCTGAACTTTGCAAGGTCCTATTTATGTCTTAGTTATTGATTTATGTCAGAACAATACTTTCTGCTACCTGAGAGGATTCTTAAAGCAACAGTGGACATTGAACTGCCTGCTACATGAAGAATGTTAGGTGACTAAATCTGTTACCATTAAGAATTAATCAGTCAATAAAAAATGCTATGAACAACCTATTAACAATATAACCTATTGTTGGATTTCCAAGCTTGCTATTGTAAATACTTCATAAGAGAATTATGCTTCCTTGTGGGGATTACACCATTTGGTCTACATTTATTCCTGCCAAGTTGACAATTATTATTTGGAAACTTCCTATAAATTCAGTGTGAAATGAAAAGGCATATGAGCAGTTCAAATCTTCTTTTCTCAAGTTCAGTGGTAAAGATGTGGAAGTAAATCAGGACCGGGATTTAACATTTGTTTTCAAAACAGAAAACTTTCTTACTCTTTTATTTTAAAAATGTTGCAACATACTACTCAATAAAGCTCATCATTGCATATAGCTGTGGGAAAACAGTTCTCTCCTCTCTGGTTCCATTGTGTTCAATACTTAAAAAACAATTTCATGAACTGCAGTGACAGGGCACTTGCAACTAGTGGTTGAGTTCAATTTAACCAAAAGCAAGTGAAATACTACAACTAGCTCACCATGAGTTTGAGAGCTTCACTTTATCTAAAATAAAACAGAATGACAAAAGTGCAAATATCTCACTACATCACTTATCTTCTTGTCCTGAAGAGGGAACTGGAACCCTTGCATGCTGTTTTTAAGGTTACCCTAACCAGAAATTTCAACAATAGCACTATTAGCCATGCTTCAGTAATCCTGCCTTCTCTTAGCTGTCCTGTGTGATTCAACCTATGCAGGCAAGTGGAAACATCTTCCCCAAAATGGCTTTCTTTATATCCTCTTTCACGTCAGTGTTGGAACTTGAAGCAAAGTTGACACATACGTTTCCTATTTCCTGTATGCAGCCCGTTTCTGAAGATTGACCCTCTGTTTCTCATCTCTCTTGATTCTCTCATGTAAACAATTCCTCAAAATCCATTATAAGGTCATTTTATAAGCCTGGATTCCTTGGCTGAATTGAAGAAAACATACTTGGACTAGCTGGGGGATTAAAATGGCTGCTTCTAATGAATGCTCAACACTACTGCTTTTGACGTAGCTAGAATTCCACATGGAGACCTCCTAGCTGAAAAAAACCAGAGTTTACCTTGTGGAAGAACACATTGCATGAGGCCTCCTGTGACCAGGACACAACAGCGCTTATTCAATGGACAAAAATATAGCAACAGTTGTGACAATTTGTGGAATCTGTTTTTGTACGGTTTATGAATGCTGACTGATATCACAGCCTCTCCATGAGCAGCTGTTTCAGACTATTAACTCCATTTGAATTATATGGCTGGCTTACTGTCACTGTTTCTGTCTGCCAGCACAGAAAGGGACAAGATAAATCCTTGCAACAAATAAACACAGAGCTAGAACAAAGATCACAGAGCTTTCGAACTTATACATCTCAAAGAAATACCCCTTGGACATGCCTGATTCCCTCTAAAGACAATTTTCATGTCCAGATTTAGAAGGGAGAACCATAAACAAGCAAAATAAGTTATGGGAACAACTGATTTCTTTACTATTTTTAAAGCAATGCTTGATAAAGCTGGGAAAAGGATTTATATGAAGTACTTGCTTGAGGTGGCAGTGGCTTACATCCAGGAGGCTCATTGGAGAGGTCATCTAATTGGAGAGTGCTTACAAATTCAGGACTCACATAACAGAGTTATGAGAATAGCTGCGTGGGTTGCTCTGCCTGAGGAAGTGTATGAAAGGCCACAAAGATACATTAAATGAACAGGGAAGAAAGTGGTTTCAAAATAGTGGCATTCAAATACAACAGTCTGGTGGAAGCCCAGCTATGGGCTGCCAGTGTCAAAAAAGAACAAACTAATGGTAGCTTCCAAAAAGATACTGACTATTCCAGTATCTTGAATTCAAGAGTTCCTGGCTATGTAAGTCCTTATTTATGCAAACCCCCACTACACTCTGAGAAGTTGTCCCTTTGTTTGCCTTCAATACTGTTACAAAAATTACAAATGTCTCAAATAGCGTTAAATGAGAACAAACAAGCAACAACTTCTTGCACTAAAATAGTACCCAGAGATCCTGGTTTCTCAATCTGGCTGGACTGCGTAAAAAGACA